AGCATTCCTGTAAGCCCCTTAAACACTAGCAGTCTTTTTGTTCTCAGATCAAGAAAGAAAACTCATCAAATAGGCATTATCCTGTCCATCTTACAGGTGAAGAAACTGAGACTTAGAGAAGTCAGGAGTCTATTACATGCTATAGCCGGGCAATCACTCCAGTTCTGGTTGATTCCTGGTCTTTGCTTTTGTATAAGTATGCCTAATTTAAGAGGGAAGGAAGTGCCGTTGAAAGAGCCAGTGGAAGGAGGGCCAGGACGGGTGCTTTCCTATAGACCTTACGTTAGCATGTTTAAAATTGCAACTTCCACCTACAGTCATGATGCATTGGGTGGAGTGGAGTATCTCAGAGCATTCAGATGTCCAAACTGTCCTAGGAAGTAAGCTAGATTAGCTCTGTACATCGATGAGATTGTTTATCCTAAGTAAACATGTGAATTTGAGTTTGTTGGGAATCTCTCTAGGAAAAAAAGTGGGATCTAATTACAATGCAATATTATCAGGAAGCCCCTGTCTCTGACTTCTTTTATGACTCGGGGAGTATTTAAAACAGTGACAGGAATAATGCAAGCTTTCTGGTTAGTTGGTTATTATTTATGTGGAAGAGACATGTGTCATCTGGGAGAGGGGAATTAAGTTGTAGGATATCCTAGCGTGAAATGATTTTTTAAAGATAAAGGCAAACAGATAATGGATAAGCCAAGGAGAATGGGGTTCTTAGTGTTAACATTGGAAAATCAATCAAGTTTCCTACTAAGTGGGCTGTTAGAATTCCAGGGATTTGAAGACATCTAGCTGTTACAGAACATTTCAGTACTTTCTGTCTCAACAGTTATTTCCTTTTCTTTCTTGTGACAGACAGTGCTTGCGTTGGTGAGCCGAAAGCAGATGACACTTGTTTTTAATGCATAGTTGAAAACAAAGACCGCCTCTTTAAACTGTCGCTGACATGTCCTCCCTGTCCCTCTTTCTGCCTTCAAAAGTCTTCTGTGTCTTTTGCCAGTAATATATTTTAATGTATGCATGTATATATTTCATTTTTGAAACTTGCATGTTTCCACATTTTCCCCTAGACTGGCCTGCTCTGACTTGTTGTGACATTGCCATCTGTTCTTCTTCCTCCTCCAAGGTCTCATTTTAGCCCACTGATTGATTGTTTGGGCATAAGTTTCTTTTCTGTGGTTCATTTTTGTTATCTTTCGGATTTTCTCCTCTTTTTCTCCAGATTTTGAGTCTGTTGTGTGGTTGATTCTAATACTTATAGTCCAAAGAAATTCCCCAGTGAATCTTAACTAAATTAACACAGAACTTCAGGGTTTCCTTTGTGTAGCTCCTGTTGGTATTAGGAAATTGACCAAGCCGTGACAATAATGGATCAGGAGAATATGGTCCATTGCCTGGATTATTTAGCAGATTTTGTGGTCAATTTCTTTTACCGTGAACATGATGTTCATAATTGATGAAAATAATTGCAAATATGTATTGAGTACCAGATGTGGCTCAGCCATTTTACTCAATTTTTTGTCCTGTTACTTCTTCTAATCTGAGTAGCAGTGTGTTGCGCTCATCACTCATATATCTTCATTTTACAGATGAGGAAACAGAGGTGCAGAGAAATTAAACAACTTTCCCCAAAATCCAAGGCAGTAAGTGGTATATCAAATATTTCAGTGTACGTAGTTGCTTTAAACACATGCATTGTCCCTTCTCTGCTTTGTAAGACACAGTGATGTAAGTATTATTTTTGGAATCTACTCGTGTATGTGTGTGTACATATATGCGCACATGTATTTATATGTATATATATGTATAAGTATATATACATATATGTATACACACATCTTCTGATTATTTAATATTATATCCAGCTAAGATTCTTTTTGGTTAATTTTTACAAGGTGATTTTCTGTTTTATTACCTTGGAAGCTTAGTTTTAGGCCCCTAATAGATAAACTCCAAAGTTATGTCTTAAAAAAAAGCTATCCCTGGAATGTTGACAAATCATTTTGTGTGGCTAGGCTTCAGTATTTTGAGCATACCAAATATAATCAGTGTTTGACTGATTAAATATGTTACTTGCAAAATATTTTATTAGGTTTGCAAACTCTGATACATGGCCTGCTGTCCTGTTCCTGATAGCTAAGGGTGCATGTGGAAACTTTTAATACATGGAGTGTCTCTTCTCTGCTGATAGATGTTTCTGTAAAAAAATGGATAAGGTGATGAGATCAGAATCAACTGTGTTTCTTATGCAGAACCGTGCTGGAGATGCATGCTAAATCCCTAGCTATGCATCTCATTAACTTGCCAAGCAGTCAGAGATCTGCATACTGACTTTGAGAATATTTCATTACTGTATTTTTCTAAGGGCGGCTTTACGATTGCCAAAGAACCGACAAGATATGAGCCTCTATAACTCAACTAGTTTTATATTATGATCAATATGAAAAATTGCCTCTGATTACCTGGGGATGCAATGAAACTGTTAAGATGTATTAGGTTTCTGGTTTATTTTCTGATTGACTGAATCCTGTAAAATTTAGGAAAATGAGGTACATTGAAGAACATTTTAAGCTGCTGTTTCTCCCTACCCTGTTCTTTAAAAAATGATTTGCCTGGTATTTGCCTTTTAATGTTTGCAACACTTGAAAGAAAAGTGAAAGGCACTTGTTCCCGTTTTACATTTGTTAAAATATAAAGGAAAACAAGATTGTTTTTGATTGCTGTTATGATAAATTACTGCTGATTTAATGGCTTAAAACAAATTTCTTTTAAAAATATGTTTTATTTATTTGAAAGGCAGAGTAACAGAGAAAAAAGGAGAGATACTGGGAGAGATCTTCCATCTGCTGGTTTACTCCTCAAATGGCTACAATGGCTGGGGCTGGGCCAGGTCAAAACTGTGAGCCAGTAACTCCATCAGGGTCTCCTACATGGGTAGCAGGGGCACAAGTACTTGGGCCAGCAATCTTCTACTGCCTTTCTAGGCACATTGGCAGGAAGCTGGATCAGAAGTGGAGCAGGCAGGACTCCAATGCCTTTGTCACAGTGGCAGCTGAACCTGAACCACAACAGCGGCCCCTAAGGCAAATTTATTATCTCAAAGATGGTCAGGTAAGCAGTCTGCCATGAGCTTGTTCACTAATAGCCACATCTTGGCTCCTGTCTGGTGCCATAGTAGAGAATCTTTCCGTACCTGTTCTCTGTTACAGAGGCTGCTTGCATTCCTCCACTAACTGCCCCTTCCTCTAACATTAAAGCCTGCAACAAGAGCCCAGTCCCCCTTATGTTTCCTGTCTTTCTTTGTTCATTCCTTGCTTTATTTGTTTATTTAAAGATTTATTTTAAAGGCAGAGTTACAGAGAGAGGGAGAGACAGAGAGATTTTCCATTCACCAGTTCATTCCCCAGATGGCTGCAAGGGCATTTCAGACAGCAGCTTAACCCACCAAGTCACAGTGCCAGCTCTCCCCCACCCCCTCCCACGGCGTCTCTTTAACCCAGCCAGGAAAGTTTTTCCCTTTTAAGGGCTCACATTACTGAGCCCACTTTGTTATTCTCCCAAGAATGTCTCTCCATGTCACAGTTGTTCTCTTTCAGAGTTTCCCCAGTGTTACTCTGCAGTGTCAGGTAATATATTCACAGGGCATTAATATGTGGGGAAAGGTGTTTGCCTACCACAGGTTCGCCAATGTTATGTCACCATTTGAGAGTGTTCGTTAAACATAAATGTTGACTTCACACTTTTTGTTGTGATATCATATACTTGATACAAATACTGAAATACAAAATAGTTTGTAATACTGTAATTGTAGTCTACTGACAGAGGTTTCAGGAGCAGCAGATAGGAAGCAGAGGTCTCTGTTTAATCAGTTTCCTCAGACTATGAAGCCAGTGCCTCAGGGTTCTCACAGAGAGGATTTGCCGTCATCTTCTGAGGTTTAAATTTTTCTGTGCGTTTGTTGTAGCTTCCAAGTAAACTCGACCTCCCTGAAGGGGACAGCTTTGGCCCATCCTCTCTTCCCCATGCTCCATGCTGGGCCTGTGCTTTCTTGGCCATGTGCTGGTTGTTGTCAGAGAGCCCTTTGATCACTAAGTGACCAACAAAGACTGGCCCAGGGAGCTCATTCTTCCTCTCTCCCTGTCCATGTGCATTGTCTCATCTCATTTCCTCTGGAAGGTGTGGGGAGCCTTTTGTCCCGGCGGGATCTGCTACTAGCTTCTTCACTCATGAAGCCTGGCAAAATGTGTTTGCTTTGTAGTAGTCTTTAAAACCATCTGAGAAAAAAAAAAGAGATCATAAATATAATAAAAATAAATAAATAAAACGATCTGAGAGAGAAGCAACGGAATTTCAGATGCAATTGGTAAACAAACAAGGAATTTTTTGCCAGGAAACCTTCCTGGTGCTCCCTGAATCCCACTCCATGACTTCTTCTCCACACTGGAAGGTGTCTGTGTCTCTACCTGATCAGTTGTGGGAAGAGAGTGATCAGATGTAATTTTGCAATATCCATGAGTGTAGACCCGAGCTCTCGGAAAGATAGAGAGGTGAGTTGGTTAATTCAGACATTTATATCCCCATCTCTCTGAGGACAGCATTTTTGATTTTTCCGATCAGCACAGAGGATGTGCTGATAAACAGAAAGCTAGAATTAGAAATTCAGAACAAATACAGGCAAAGAAAACATGTTAAATGCGAATGGAGTGACTGTAACTTCTGTGACTGGGAATGGGATTATGGAAACCACAGCAAAAAGAGAATCACAGGAAGTCAGTGGTGCTCTGGCAACATGAGGTCGACTCTGGACTTTTCCCAGCCTTCTGATCTGGTGTTGCTGGGTATATCTTATGGCCTTGTGGTTCTGCATACGATATCCAAGACATTTAGAAAATTCAAACTTATGGTATTTTAATGTCTAGACCTGTATGTTTTAGCATCTGGAAAAGCAAGATGAATAGATATTCCCAAGTGGGACAGAGAATAAAAAGCACGCATGCTATGAGCAGCAAGGAGAGAGACACTAAAGTTTAGTTTTCTAGGCCAAGGCAACAATTCATGTATACACTGGAGGATGAATACGAGGTCTTATTTCGGCGAAGAATGACTCAGTGTCTCTGGGATGGCCAGCCTTGGTTGCCACAGTGTGCTACAGCTTAGTGGAGGCTGAGAGTGGGGTGATAAGCGTCAGACAAGCCCCTGGCTTCTGACCCTGGATGAAAAACCACAGCCGCAGCTCTCTCGGTGTCGTTGTGTGTCATTGGCCACTTTGTTTAGAGAAAGACACAGGTAAGTTTTTTGAGTTGATACAAAGGTGTAGGCTTTTGGTTGACAGCAGAGAGAGGAGCTATCGAGAGACAGTTGCACTGAAAGGAGAGGGGGAGACACGGTAAAAGAAGCTTGCATTTTGCTTTGTCTTATTTCAGATGACAAGAGCTGAATGTATCCCCGGGCCTTTTTGATTATTTGGGAACATTTTCTATGACATGATCAGAGGTTTTGTGTGTGTGTGTGTGTGTGTGTTGCATTGGTGGATATATGGCATAGGAGGCAGGAAGATGCCAACAGAAGAGTGACTATGGGAGTGCACCTGCCCTCTCCTCACCTGGTATATCAATCTCCAGCTTTTCAGTCCACTCTGTTAGGGGTCTCACCTGACCCCTAAAATTACTGAGCTCTCCAGCAACCTTCCTAATCTTGAATGCCAGGCTCCCAGTGTAATTACCCTCTCAAGAGATTTTGGCTTTTTTCACACCTTCCTTCTCCAAATAAGCTTTTCTTTGTTCCTTTCTCAGTGGCTCTGTCATTCATTCTGTTAATGTAAGTCAGAAACTAGGAGGCTGTGCTTGGCCACTTCCTTTTCCTCACAGCCGTATCCATCACATCAGGAAATGTGGTCTTCTTTACCTCCTATATTCTCACGCCCACCATTCTAGTCTACGTGTCATCATTTCATAGCTGATCTGTGAAGTGGTTGCCTACATATCCCCCCCTGTATAAACTCCTGTCTCTTGTGTTCCCTTCTCGACAGTTTGCATGAATGTTCATCTGACAGCGTCATCAATTCAGAGTGAACTTGCCAATACAGCTTACGAGGCCCTGCATGCCTGGTTTTGCCTTCCTCTCAAGCATCAGCTGTATTTGTTGATTTTTACCCTGTAGCCAGAGGGACTTCTATCAGTTCTTCAGACCTGCCGCAGGGCCTTTGTACATGCTTCATACAGAAATTGCAGTATTCTTGGCTTTTCTTTTCCTCATAGTTAATGCCTTTTTGTCTTTTTATTTTAGCATGAAGATCCCTTCTTCTGGAAAGTTCCCTTATTAGGTTGCTTCCCTATTTTATCTCTCATCCAGAGACACCATGAGCCTATTCTATCAATTCCTATCTGTTCCTAGTCTTCAGCTCCACAGGACAGTAGCGATTATGTTTACTTTTGTACCTGACACAGAGTATGCACTCAGTGAATATTTGTTGAATGAATGAAATTCTACTTCCTTTATGAAAGCTTTGTTAGCTGTTCATATTTGCATGAAATTCTCCCTTTTCAAGGTTATTCTAGCTCATCACTTCAGCATCATTCTTCCTTTGTTTTCTTTCTTAATGTGTTTTGGAGCTCTCTTCTAACCGCATCATCAGTTCCGTAAATTCTGGGAGGACAAGGAGCAGATCTGATGCTGAAAACAAGTGCTGTGGAGTGTCCAGTGAGTTTCTGAGCACACAGCAGCTTTTGAACCACACCTGCGTTTCAGTGCACCTGTGTTCATGTGGAGGCGTAAGGTCAGCCACAGATGTTTTGCACCTGGCTTTCTTCTCTGGCTCTGAAGCTATTGAGGACAGAGCAGAAGTGGGAGTAGGACCCTTGATCTACACCCACTTCTCTGTGCAAGCTTCGTGGAGCCATACAGAGTGCAGGCTTCAACTCCTCACCTTTCGGGTCAGAAGACAGAGACCCAGAGAGGAGAAGTGTTTGCCCTACATGAGGCAGGTGTGCAGTGTAAATTTTACCAGATTGCATAACTAATTAGAGGAAAAGCTGTGGCTATAACTTAGGTCCCCTGACTGCAGGCCCATTGTTCTTTGCTGGGTTGTCTCATTTAAATTGGAGAAGAAAGATGAAGTACTCATTAATGATGAAGAGCACATGCTGGGAGTTGAAATTAATAGGGACAGGGAAAGCCAGGAAGATCCTGGGGGAAAATATGGGTGTGTGGGGGAAGCCAGGTGGAGCAAGGATTGGTTATGTGTTTGGCTAAGACCATTATCTTGGATTTATTTTTGTCCAAGGGTATATATTGTGTCTATTTTCCATATGCCTTACTCCTTTAATCTTTATTTATAGAATGATTATATGTTAAAACATCCATTTAAAACTATCCTTTTCCTTATTGCCTGCTTTTATCTTTTTAAGATATTTTTATTATACAAGCCCTATGTTGTGACTCATCAGGGTATCATGGCCTGTAATGGTGAGTGGTTGTGTGTGTGGCTTAGTTTTTGTTCATTCATACACAAGTTTGTTTGCCTTTCTGTACACCATTGACATTCCCTTTCATTTTCTGGGTGCCACATGTCATTTTCTTTGTGTTCCCCTGCACATGCACACTCACATAGTCTCTCTCTCTCTCTCTCTCTCTCTCTCTCTCTCATACACACACACACACACACACACACACACACACCTGAATGTGCATAAACAAAGGCTGAACTAATGTGAAATACGGTGACATATGGTAACTGAGAAAACAGTCTCAATGGCAGATCTGTAATCAAAGGTGCAGATGTTTGGCATTTGACAAATGAATTTTTTTATGTAAAATTGTTTTAGTACATTAAGTGAAAAGATGGAAAATTAGCTGCCTACTGTAATGAACATTTTCTTCCATTGAAAAGGGAATAAAATGAGAAACTTAACCAAACAAATAAGTTAGGCCCCTAGAGATTCACTGAATATGTTTTTCCAAGTACTCAGATCTCAGTTTTATTGCCTCCTGAGGATTCTCTCCTTCTGGCTTCAGTGTTTGCCTTACACAGATAGTACATTAAGGTGTTTCCTGAGTTTTGTTAACCTTAAAGTATTTGGAGATAGAATTTCAATAGGGTGCTGTCATGTTTTCTTTCTCCAGTGTTGAATTTTGCTACAAATGCTAATTTTTCCTTCTCTACTCTTTCAGATTCTGTCATTTCTCATAGTTCTGGAAGCTCTTTTCCCTTCTAACTGGACAATGTTCACTTGTCAAATGTATTGCCTTGCCTATCTCTTTGTCATTAAATTTAGTTCTGTATACAATTTAGTATGTAGCTATCCCCTGTCGAGAATTGCTCCTTATTTAATGCATGCTATTCTGTGACTCCATCTGGATTGTAAATCCCTTGAAATTAGGAGTTAGATCTTATGGTAAGTGATCTAGAAATCCCTCCTGATCCCTTTTAGATTGTTTTTAGAAAAGGAAGCAGTCACACTGTTTAGCAGAAAATGACATATGGGAATCAATTATAGATACATAAAAGGCTCATCACCTGGTGATTGGTATTAATAAAACTTCTTGGCTTTTCATCTCTTAGTCTGTTGCAACTGTGCCATCTATTTCCTAGTTTGCTTTTGCTATGAGATGCTCTGGAGTTTTAGGTCTTTGTAGAATAATCTTTTTTAGCCATGTTTGCTTTGCCAAGGGATTTTTTAAAATCCTCCTTTCATTAGAGGCTACTCAAAATGATATTTTCTATTAGCATCTTTACATTCAGAGAAAATAAAGAATCTCAACAAAAGGTTAATATACTTATTTAGGCGTTAATAGCTGTATAATATTTTTTCCTTAATCATTTTTTTAACCTTTCTAGTAACCTAATCCTAAAAGTCAGTGGACCCTGGTATTTTAAGTTGATGGGTGAGAAAACCAAGGTATTAAAAGATTCAGTGTAGGCCATATCGCTTGTGAATAGCTTAGCTTGAACTTCAACCCAGCCATCTGGTTTCTGATCCTTTGTGTGTTGTTTTTTTTTTTTTTTTTTTGACAGGCAGAGTGGACAGTGAGAGAGAGACACAGAGAGAAAGGTCTTCCTTTTGTCGTTGGTTCACCCTCCAATGGCCGCTGCGGCTGGTGCGCTGCGGCCGGCGCACCGCGCTGATCCGATGGCAGGAGCCAGGTACTTATCCTGGTCTCCCATAGGGTGCAGGGCCCAAGGACTTGGGCCATCCTCCACTGCACTCCCTGGCCACAGCAGAGAGCTGGCCTGGAAGAGGGGCAACCGGGACAGAATCCGGCGCTCCGACCAGGACTAAAACCCGGTGTGCCGGTGCTGCAAGGTAGAGGATTAGCCTAGTGAGCCGCGGCGCCGGCCTTCTGATCCTTTGGGTTTTCCATTATACATTACAGCTTTTGTAGAATAAATAGCTAACCTGTAAGTGGCTACTGTTGTTTTTGAATTTCCACTTAAGAGTACATAATAATAACATTTCTCTATGGTAAAGACATAAGCTGTTACAATATTCTGCTTAGTAGCTCACATTTGATGAGGAAGACATGTACATGAGCTTTTGGTGGACTTGTCAAATGTTGGTATACTAAATAGAAATCTTCAGTGGTTAGGTTCAGGTGGTTTTGAAGGGTTTAAGACCATTTAAGAGCTTAGTAAATATTACCCTTAGGGGATATACTCATCATCACAAAATGATGCAGTCCCCACTGGTGCTAATCCATTTGATCACTGACCATCCAACTCTTCATTCATTGATACAATCTTAAAAATATACAGCTATCATTTGTCTTGCATCTGATGTTTAACAGGAACAGTATAGGATCCTTATGGAATTATAGTTGAGACACTTGCTTAAGGCTACCCAGGAAGTACCAGGTTGGGGTGCCCTCATTATTCTACCATACTGCCTCTTGCCAGTGTTCATGACTGGGGCATAGTTTTAGTCTCTCTTTTGTCTGTGCTGTCTACTTGGGAATATTGGTAGCTACACAAAAAGTTTGTTGATTTCCAGATAAAACCATCATTCTTTTAACAACTTGTTAAAAGGCATGTGGGTGAATATCATGCTGTTGGAAATAAATACTCTAATAAGTTTAATGGTAAATGTCACTTATATGCATAGATCTTGATTATTTTCTAGAAACTTTTGATTTTTCATACAATTAGCTGCTTGATACTTTCAATGACCCATCTCTTTCCTTTTTAGATTTAAGGCAATAATTAGAGTTAATCTTGGTTAGGTGCACAATGAAGTGTCAAGTGTGGGTCTCATAATTTAGAGAACTTTATAGTGAATTTTATCAGAAATAGT